CGCTTATCCCGCGACTGCAATACCTCCGAGCAAATCGGCCGCCACACTCGCCAGAGGTTTCAGTCGGCTCAGCTCCAAAAGACGGACTGAAATCGAGGAGAATCCAGGGCCTCAGAGCTGACTGCCAATAGAAGTCGTCGGCACTCGCCTCCGAGAGAAGCCCCCACCAGTCGCTCGTCGTTGCACCTTCCCGCCATGGCCAACGAGACCATATGAAAAAAGCCTCGCAAGCCCACCTAGCCACTTTTCTTCAGCCTAGATGTCGTCCCGAGCTCCGATCTCGCCGGGGAAGAAGGCCTCTGCTGGTGAAGAGGCGACAGACGCACAATTGCTGGAAACGAGGGTTAGGGAATTTTGGGGAAAGAAGTTAGAGAGAGAGAGGGTCGTCAATTTCAAAATCACGTATTTCTGTTTTGTAGTTCAAGTTATAAGTAATGAAAGCATACTATTTTGGGAAAGTTTTCTTTAACCTCCCAAACTATGGCGATTTTTAAAGTTTGCCTTGCGAACTTTTTTTTTTTCTTGACAATTTGTCTCCCATAGTAATTGAAACTAACAATTTGTCTCCTCGATTAAAAACCCTAATATGACACATAAAATTTTTTAACTCAATTAACGATAAATTTTAATTTTTTTAAATTGGCTTTTAAAGTCCATGGAGAGACGAATAAAATGAGGTATGGTTTTTCGATTTTTTAAGATTGGTACCTCTGTAATCGATCGACGATAGTAGGAGCATGTGTGTATAAAAAACATTTCAGTTCAAGTCTTTTGATAATCAAGATATCCGATTTTCGATCGGGAAATGTCATTTGAAAGCTTGCAAGACCATTTTTCTAATGTGAATCTTATGAAAATTCAACGGTCGAATTTTGATCAGTAGTTAGAAAACTACAGATCAATTGTTAGTTTTTTTTTCTTTTCTATTCACCAAAATCCGGTATTTGGATTTTCATAAGATTTACTTCGTTAGGTCTTCCAAGCTTTTAAATAACACATTTTAATCGAAAACGGATACCTTCAAAAAACTTGGACTTCAAATTTTTTCTTTACATACATGCTCCTACTTTATTGGTTGATCGATTACAGAGGTATATCGACGAATTAAACTTTATCTGTTAACAAATAAAGGCGATCTCCATTTCTGCTTCTAATCAGGTTTAGGAAACGCACGCTGAACATAGAAAAGTGACAACGCAAGATATGGAGAAGATATAAAGGGGTTATCCTCCTCGCTTTCGGCGCATAGTCTCTCTGGTCAGCTGACGGTGGTTCTTTGCCGGCAGGACGAGCTTGGTCTCACACTCAAAGCTTCATATAGGTAAGTCCTACTTCTCAGTCACCCAACTTCAATGACCTAAAATGACAATCTGAAATCAAGGGTGGAATACTTGTTCTGTTATAATGCTATAAAGCGACATTTGAGAGGGTGAAGGATTGGGGACTGAGGCGCTTAGGGATTGTCGTTCAGCAACAAATTTTGTTATCAAGATTGATTATTTATTTAAAATTCTTCAATACCTTTGGATGATCAATTGCTTTGCTGAAATTAGGAAATATGATAATTTTATTTTTTATGTTTAAAAAAGAGAGTTTTTTTGTGATTTGTATGAGCTGAGATATTTGAATGCTTTTGTTTATGTATAGAAGTATACATTTTACCTCCAAGATTTTGTTGATGATTGATAAAATTTTCAGATTTCCATTTTATATGTTTTTCTACACTAAAAAAACCTTGACTGAGTTAAATCTGTTGCAACTTTGAGGCCGGCCCTGGCCATATGTTTAATCTGAGGTTGTTTTGTTTGGCCCTGCAGCCATGGATGAGGATATGTCTAATTCACTGCGGAGGATGTCCATGCGAACTCGTAAGGTTGCTCCTAAAATGGCTGCGGCACTCGCAAGCAGTGATAATCGGACTCAGGTGAGTTGAGTGGTGCTAATACTCCCTTTTTGTTTTTTTTTTGCTCCTTTTCTTTTCAATTGTTTTCTGCATGAGGAAGTTGATCTTATCTGAGCCGGATTAATCAATTGTGGACAGGCAATGCTTGCTCGTCTTGAAGCTTTGGAGAATGATAATGCTGGCCTGGAGACGGTGCAAGTTGACGAGGATGACGAAGCCTCCCTTGATGATGATGATCAAGGTCATTTGCCTTGTGCTTATTTTGTTAATGATTGAACAAATTAGGTGTAACCAATAACAACGAACGCAAATGCAAACATTTATGCAACATAGACTAATTTTAAGCAACTTTTTGCTCACTGAAGATTTTGCTCTGTGACGATGTTTATCATTCTTCAGTGTTTCTCTCTCTCTCTCTCTCTCTCTCTCTCTCTCTCTCTCTCTCTCTCTCTTTTTTTTGTTGGGGTGGTGGGGGGTGGGAAAGAAGAATTTGACAAGTGAAACCCAAGACGCAAGATTGCTTTGAATTATGCAACTATTCATTCTTGTTCCAACGAAAAATAGATACCGTACATTCAGAAAAAGTGCTAGATAAACATTTATGTACATTTTTGTCGTGTGTATAAAGTGTTTTTCCTTATATAAATACTTCAAGGTCAGTTTTCTTTTACTGATCTTGTATAGGCCTTTGTACGCCATATCTTTTCTTCCAGCATGGGTTTTAGGTATTTTTATTCTAGTACTGCTAATCATTTTCTGAAACATTGTTAGCCATTTAGTTTATTTATTTGTTTTGTTTTGACGTTCCTCTTACATTTTACCAACTTCTCTTTCTATCCAAGGAACACTTAGTTTGAGATGTTTGAATGCATGAAAATTTATGTTTACATGGCAGAGTAACCTGTTAATATAGGATGTTTAATTGAAAGACAAATGAGAATGTATAGTCCATAGTCCTTTTGATCATGCGCATGTTAAAGGTGTTTATGAACATCACGGGTACAAATGCATTTCGCCTGTTAGTTTTTAACAAATTGTACTTGGACTTTCATTTGCATTCACTTTTTGTTCAGTTCTTGACTTTTTGTCTCAAGCTCTATAATTTCTCTTAGGATCTTTTCTCATGGTAATTGCATCATTACTGATTATCGATCCTGTCATCTGCTCTATCACGCAGCGTACCTGAAAAAGCAAAGCAAAAGCACAAAACGTAAAACACGTCAAGCAAAAGCACTTGAGAATGCCAAGAAGGCCCCAAGAACATTCCTTGAGCTCTTGCAGGAGGTATAAGGCCAGATGGCATTAAGAGTCTAGTTTTTCAGCTTTCCAAGTGATACCAGATGTTAGTTTTTTTTTTGCTGACCTCAGTTACTATATAAAAATGGCTCTCTTCTTTAAATCAGGCTAACCTGGAATCATTGCCTCCTCATGTACCGACTTACTTGAGAGCAGCTGTTGGGCCCCCGAGTTCCACAGCTCGTCGCCATTTCTGTACAGTCTGCGGGTTCTCTTCAAACTATACGTGCGTGCAGTGTGGGATGCGGTTCTGTTCAGTTCGGTGCCAGAATATCCATAACGATACACGTTGTCTGAAGTTTGTTGCTTGATTAACCTAAAATTCACTGTCTGATGGTGCAGTTACTTGAGGAATCCAGCCTGGAATTAGGATATACCTCCTAGTGTTTCTTTATTCAACAAATTATGCAAATATTACTTGATTACTAAAATTTGCTCTAAAAGTGCTCCACGTCCACGGTCCGCACTTGGTTCCGGACATGACACCACTCGAGAAAGATATGTGAAAAATGGGTTATTTTATGGGTTATTTTATAGGCCCACATGGCGATAATCAACTCCACTGTTTGCATCTAAAAAGCCTATTTCACAGGACACATCAAATATTAGGGAAAACGATTAAAAATGGAAAAAGTTGCGAGTATAATTTATTTTATATTTTGTAGATGAAAATCATCTTTTATATTGAAATAATTAATCTATATGTTGCAAATAAAATTGTAATATTTATTTTAGTATTTGCACTTTCTATATTTTTTTTTTTATCGAAACGATAGAGGAAATATATTACTTCAAAGAAAGGGTTCAAGATACAACTGAAAATTGGAACTAAAAACTGAGAGGACACGCACTAAGGCGGCCTAGAACCTCAAACTAGACAAATCCAAACTAGCCGAAGCCAAAGAAACTAAAACAGTCAACTAACATGCTCTCCACTGCCGAAGCCTAGAGAACAAGAAAAACCGCTAACAAAAAATCGAAACAAAAGAAACAAACACAAGCAAACTATAAACTATCTAAGACCATGAAGTTGAGAAAATTCCAACCACTGCAAATGAGCAGTCTTGACTATCCGAGGAGCTGAGAGGTTGATGTTTTGAAATATTCATAGGTTGCGCACTTTCCAAAGCCACCACAACATGTAAGTGGTCAGTTGGATTCTGGATTCAGCCACATCAGATCGAGCCATGGAGCATAGATGAGACCACCATCCCCTGAATGATGAAGTGAAAGGTTTCAGACCATCCCAATGCACTGGGGCAATATCCCACACCCTGTCAGCTTTAGAACAAGTAAATAGAACATGCTCAATTGTCTCAGTCTCATTGCCACAAGTTTGACAGATAGCATCCAACCTCAAACCTTTCTTCAACAAATTGAGTTTCACAGGCAATGATCCAGATATACATTTCCAGAGGAAATGTTTAATCTTGCCCACAACTTTCAGTTTCCAGCACCTTGTATAGAAATTATGCTTGTTATTTGAGGGGGAGCTACAACCAGGAAGGTCAAGAGCTAGTAGCTTTTGTTTAGACAAGAAGTCATAAGTACTAGCTACTGAAAATAACCCTTTTTTGTCCAAGGACCAAAACATCCTATCAGCCATACCTAGTTTGAGAGTGGTAATGTCAAGGACAGCTTTGCAGTCAGCAGCATTAAACAATTGAGAAACAAGCCAGTCATTTCATCTAGTACTAGAAGAGTTCAGAAGCTCACTGACCCAAATGATATGTCCTCTAACAATTTCAATCATGCAGGGCTTTGGAGATGTAAGAGAAGGAACCCAGTTGATGTCATCAACCCTGGTAGAAGCACCATTTCTTATCTCAACACAGAAACCCTTAGTAAAGACAGGAAGAACAGAGAGCCAGTTAGACCAAAGCCAGGAGCAATTAATAGTCTTAACAATATAAAAAATAGAGCAGTTGGGGTAGTATCTATCTTTCAAGAGTCTGCTAGCAAGGAGAGAAGGTTGTGAAGTGATTCTCCACAGTTGTTTACAGATTAAAGCTTTATTGAAGTTGTTTAGATCTAAAAACCCAAGACCTCCATCTGATTTAGGCAAAGAAAGGGCAAACCAATATTTTCAATAAAGACCAACCTCCTGATTGTCACCCTTGCTCCACCAAAAGTTAGAACATTTTCTTGATATTTCAGAGCACATAGATGATGGTAAAACAAAGCAAACATGGAGAAAGTGGAAAAGCTTGCAAAACAGCTTTAATGAGGACTTCTTTACCTGTTGGGGACAACATTCTAGCTTTCCAGTTTTGGAGTTTGGCTTGTACGGAGTCCAAAATGTATTGAAAGGCATCCCTTTTTGATCTGCCTATGCCCAATGGCAACCCCAAATACCTTGTTGATCTGTGTGCTGGAATACCTTGCAAAGCTGTACAAATTCTGAGTTGCAATGGAATATGAGTGCTTCTACTGAAAAAGAAGGCACACTTGTGAAGATTAACTTGTTGCCCAGTAAACAATCTATATTTTTCCAGTAAAGTCAAGAGAGCATTAGTCTGTCCAACATCAGCTTTGCAAAAGAATAATGAATCATCCGCAAATAGAAGGTGAGAAATGGGGGGCCATTTTTAGAGAGTTTCATACCCAAGAGCTGACCAGAGTTTAAGGAAGCAATCACTAGAGCAGAAAGCAATTCAGCCACACTAATAAAAAGATAAGGGGACAAAGGATCCCCTTGTCTTAAGCCTCTTGAAGGATTGACATATCCACCAACTGTACCATTCACTTTGAAAGAATATGAACAAGATGACATACAGACCATAATCAGATTAACAAAGACATGAGAAAAACCCATTTGAAGCATGATCTTCTTAACACAGAGCCACTCCACACAGTCAAAGGCCATAACCAGATCCAATTTAGTAGCCATAAAGTGATTCTTACCAGAACTGTGTCTGTTGATATAGTGGAAGGCTTCTTGTGCTATGAGAACATTGTCTAAAAGTTTCCTACCATTAATGAATGCAGACTGGAAATCACTTATGCAAGAACACAGACAAGATTTGAGTCTCAAAGCCAACAACTTAGAAAGAACTTTATAGACCACAGTACAAAGGCTGATTGGCCTGAATTGAGAGATATATTTAGGATTGATGCATTTTGGAATGAGGGTCACAATTGTATGATTCCAATATTTTAGCATAAGACCATTCTCAAAGAAACCTTGAATAGCAGAAGTAAGATCAGCTTTAATAAGACTCCAAAATTTCTGATAAAAAAACAGTTGTCATACCATCTTCACTTGAAGTCTTGTCTGGGTCAAAGCTTAAAAGAGCGGCTTTGATTTCATCTTCTTGGACAGGCTTGATGAGGTCCTGGTTCATATCATTGGTAATTGAGGGTGTAATTAGCTGCAGGATACTCTCACCTCCCCATGATCCTTCTGAAGAGAAGAGGTTAGCATAGAAGCTTGAAATGTGAGTTTGGATCTCCTGCTGGGTTAAACATTCCCTGCCCTGTGGAGTTAGCAATCTAGTGATTGCATTCTGCCTTCTCCTTTGAAGACTGTAGGCATGAAAAAAACTAGAATTGTAGTCACCTTCCCTCAGCCATTTTATTTTAGCTTTCTGTTGCCAATATAATTCTTCAATGTGATGAGCTTTCTCCAGATCAGCTTTAGTAGAAGTCCATTCATCTCAGTTATCAGCAAGATTGGTAGTTCTCAGGAGCTCCAGTTTGGCAGAAAAGTGCTCAATTTTTGTTGGTTGCCAGTTTTGAAATTAGCACTCCATCTAATAAGAGTTTGCCTTGTGAACTTAATCTTCTCTTTAAGAATAAAGAAAGGGGTTCCTGTACAATTTTGAGTCCATGTTGTCTTTACCACATCTTTAATGTCATCCCTGAGCAGCCAACGTTAATCAAAGTGAAATCTGCGGTGGCTTTTCTGAGAAGGAGAGCCTGTGTTGAGAAGAAGTAGTGAGTGATCTGAGGCACTTCGGGCAAAAGTGGAGATAGATGCATTGGGAAAGAGCTGGTGCCAATCCATAGAGCCAAATCCTCTGTCAAGTTTTTCCTGAATTAGCCCTTCAGAGAACCGATGATTGCACCATGTAAATTGAAATCCATTCATCTTAATTTCTTCCATAGACATTGAATTAATGAAGTCATTAAAACCAGCTAGACTCCTGTCACTCCTTTGGGTGCCTCCAATTTTGTCAGAGTGAGAGCAAATATCGTTCTAGTCCCCTATTATGAACCAAGTGTCTTGCCATTTGCTTCTTTCTTTTTCAAGTAATTTTCATTGTTCTGCTCTTGTGGAAGCACAGGGACTGAGATAAACAAAAACTGCCCAACTCAAGCCCCCATTGTTCAAAGAGTATTCTACTGCTATAAAACTGGTTTGACACACCATCTGAGCAATGGTGACCTCTGGAGACCAAAAGAGAAGTAAACCACCACTTAGACCAACCAGATAAACCACCGCATGTCTGTCAACAAAACCCAACTTGTGAACCACCGTTTGGACAAAAGGAGAAGAATTTTTAGTTTCAGAAAGAAAAAAAAAAGCAGGGTGGTGAGATCTAAAAGTCTCTTTGATTTGGGAAACCGTCGAGGGCCCACCCAGTCCTCGACAGTTCCACACCGCAACTAACATTGATCACTTGGGTACCACTCCAGGCTGGCCACCTCCACCTTAGTCGATTCAGATTTCAACTTCTTTTTCACTTCAGAGTTAATCAACACATCTCTATATTCAGGGACATCTGCAGATACTTCAGTAATGGTTCTTTTCCCAGAAACAGAGGCATTGATAATTGCCTTATGATTAGGTTGCCTTGTTAGCCTACCATCTTTACGAGAAGCTCTCTTCCAAGTTTTGGAACAAGAGAGGGCCTGTTCAATCATAAGAAGATCAGGGGAGCTAGTTTGGACTGGGATTGGTGATATCAGAGTGTCAACTATCTCCTCCCAGATAATATTATCAGAATTGGAATGATCATGATGCTTTGCTAGTGAGGGGATCTTGGTAGGAATTGGGGTTGGATCCTTAGGAGGTTTCACTGGTGTGGATTTATTAGAAACTTTAGTGCCATTTGAATCTTGAACTTCTGCTGGTGATGTACTGCATTAACTTCTTCAACCACCAAGAGTTGATTTGCTTCTGGAATCTGACTCGTTGAAGTATTAGGAGTAGAGATTTGCACTGGTGTAGCAAGAGAGTCTGATGACTGATAATAAGAACTTGGGTTACTGGTGGTCGCCCATTGCTGAAGTTCTGGTGCTCTCATCCAATCCCCATTTTGGCCATCTTTGAATGACTTCTGAGCAATATCGTCCATTTTCTTTTTGC